CCCCCCGTCTGGCTGCTGTGACCCTCACCTGATGTTGCCCTCCCGCAGCTGGCCTGGGAGGTGCTCGATGAAGGACCCGTTGCCCAACCAGTAGAGGATGCTGAAGTGGTGGAAGCGGCTGCAGGCAGTACAGGACAAGGTCAGCGCTCCATCTAGGGACACGTGCCGCTGTGAGCCTTCCCCCTGCTCTGCCCACCCTGCCAGCTCCCACAGCCCCCAGGACTCTGGAACCCGGAGGACGGTGCACACCCCCTTGGGGGGAAAGCCCATGAAGGAGAAGCACAGTGGCCTGCATGAGGCCCTAGCCCTGAGCACGGAATGTGGCTCACGAGCAGACTCCTCTTCTGAGCCTGTTTCCTCAGGAGGACCTCTAGTTAGAGCCCAGCATCTGCGACCCTTGGAGCCCCGGCCCGAGCCAGCACTAGCAGGCTGCTGCTCCTCTGAGGGGTTCGTAGGGCAAGCAGGCTCTGGGCGAGGGCTGGGCCTTGGAGCACCTCGCAGTCAAGGCTGGTGGAGGTCCCAGGGCCATTCCTTTTGTCTGAATTCTCTGTCTACTTGATAGGGGCACTTTAGAGCTGGGCCCTGAGCACAACACTGGGTTGGGGACTGGTATGCACTCGGCCTGGCTAGTCTGGCTGGCCGTGCATGGCAGCGGGGGCTGGCACTGAGGAGCTAACCCGACCCTTGGAACCTCTGTGCCCACAGCCCACCCCGATCACTGTGTCCTCCTGGCTCCCATCCTAATTGCTCCTTACCCAGTGGCACTGCCGTCTCTGGCCAGGTCACCTTCAAGGCTGGGCACTGCCTAGCTGCCGGGGGCCAGGAGGGACAGGGGTCCTTTGTGCTCCTGGCTGCCATGGTAGCTGTGATGGTCTGAGGTATGGGTGTGGCTCTGGCCAGGAGAGTGCTGATGTGGGCACACAGGAGCAAGACCCACAAAGGACTGGAGTCTGAGGAAAGGACAGTCACAGATCAGCAGCTGACTGAGCTGCCTGGTAGAGCTGGCATCCCGGCTCGTATCTGGACTGGAGACAGTGGCTGCCTGGTTAAGGAAGTCACTACAGCCCAGTTATTCTTGGGCTCCAGCCAGGGAATCAGAAGGGGAGGAAAGGCCCCTCAGTCCCCACCCTCTGCCCTTGTGAATGGAGTACAAAGCAGCTTCAGGAGGGAACCAGAGCCCACAGCAATGGACAGAGACTCCCAGCAGGAGCACGACAGTTGGGTCGGGCCACCTTGGGGTGAATGCTCAGGGTTAGCCCACTTCTCCATTCTGCTCAGAATCCCACCAGCCCATGCATAGCGCCAAGGCTCACCTGGTGTCCAGCTCTGTCTCGGGGTCATGATGCGAGTGTCAAGAGCTGGCAAGCCAGGCTCTATATATCTGTGACGTCCTCTGGGGAAAGGACCGTACTCCCACGCTTTCTTGGTAGCTGACTTTCCTTCCTGGAACTTCCAGTGGGCTGCCAGGCATTGCTATTTATCTTAGTAACTCCCAGAGGCCATGTACCTAGCCAGGCTGGTGCTGTCAGCACTCAGAAACAAGACCAGGATCATCTAGTGACAATCTCCCCCCACCCTAGCTCTTATTACCTTTAATGTTTCCAAAATGGTTATCTAGTCCAATCTTCCCCTTCATTAGAAAGAAACGTAGACCCAGAGGGGCAAGAGACTTACCTGGTCACACAAGGAGGCAGAGTTGGTTCTGGGAAGGCAGGATGCAGACTAATTCTGGGAAAGTACTGCCTCACCTTCTATTTCACTTTCACTTTGATTCTAACCAGGGACTCCGAGCCACTAAGAATGGTTAGCTGTTGTACCTCTTCTTTAACCAAGGCTCACAATGGCCAGAAACCTTTCTGTTAACTCCCAGGCACCCTCCTCTCTAGAGCAGCGGTCCCCAACCTTTTTGGCATCAGGGACCAGTTTCATGGAAGATAATTTTTCCATGGGAGCGGGGCGAATGTGGAGCCAACCTCACTGCTGATGTGAATCTGTATTTGCAGCTGCTGCCCAGCGCTAGCATCACCGCCTCGGCTCCACCTCGGGTCATCAGGTTCTCGTAAGGTGTGCGCAACCTAGATCCCGCGCATGCGCAGTTCACAGTAGGGCTCCGGCGCCTATGAGACTTGAATGCTGCCCTGATCTTACAGGAGGTGACACTCCGCTCACCCACGCACACCCACCGCTCATGTCCTGCTGTGCAGCAAGTTCCTAACAGCCACGGACTGGTACTGGCCCGTGGCCTGTGGGTTGGGGACCCCTGCTCTAGAGGATGCCAGACTGGGCTTTCTAATCTACCCCCACCCCACCCCAGGACCTCCTAGGTGTGGACGAGATGAGAGGCTGTCACAGCCCATCCTTCTGTCCCAGCCAATGGTCAGGACTTGGGTGTTGCCTACACTCTTCATATGAGCAGGCACCTGCTTCCTCCTTCACACTCACTGATATTCAAGGAGACACCTTTCCTAGGTACCTGGACCCCAGTTGGATCATTTTGACCATTTCGGGCTCAATGCCACACCAGGCTCCCCAACCACTAGCCCCAAGGTCAGCTGCGTCACCCAACACCCACCCATCATACCCACAAACCCTTCTCACTACTCATCCTAGGTGTCACTAATAGTTCGAGACTCCCCTTACCTGGCTCCAAGATGTCTTGAAAAGCCCTCCTTTTCAGAAGCTTCCTTCTGGAACTCCAAGGCTCAGCAGAGCTGTGTCCAGCCACATGCAAGTCCCACCATGGGAAATACTCTAAAAAACGCTTTTCCCTTGTCTGCAGGAGCTCGCAAGCAAGCTGGGAACTTGTCACCCAAGCTCGAGGGAACTGACCTATCAGAGGGGGAAGAGCTGGCCTACCAGGGAGGGAACTGGCCCTATTAGAGGGGTAGGGTTGGCCCTACCAAGAGGGGAGAGGTAGCCCTGGTGGGGGAGGAGAGGTAGGCCAGGATGGGACATCTGGTTCTACCAGAGGGGGAAAGCTGGCCCTCCCAAGGGAGGGGGAGGGCTGGCCCTACATGTAGGTGGGGGAGGGCTGGCCCTACTAGGGAGGAGAGCTGGCCCTAAGGGGAGGAGGAGGGTTGGTCCTACCAGGGGGGAAGAGTTGTCCCTACTGGGGGGGAATGTCTAGTCCTACCAGTGAGGGAGAGCTGGCCCTATGGCAGGGGTAGGGGGAGGTGGCTGGCCCTACCAGGGGGGAGAGCTAGCCCCATGGGGGGGGCAGGCTGGCCTACGGGGGTCGGTGGGGGGAGCTGGCCCTACTAGGAGTGGGATGGGAGGGCAGCCCTCGGGGAAGAGGCAGAGTGGCCCAGCACTGGCTCAGGCAGCAACAGAAGCTACATAAATATGTTAATCTCGTCGCTGACAGGACAAATGGAGCTGGGGCTGAGGCCAGGCCAGGACCAGGGTGAGGCGTGTAAAGCACAGAGGACACAACATGTTAAGGGGCTCACTCTCAGGGTCATGCAAGTATCAGTGGAGACTGAAAGACGAGGGTTGGGCAATCCACTGCATGATACATCCAGGTAGACAAGAGCTGTGTGTCTGGGGTTTGTGATCAGGCGGATGGGAGGAGGCCAGTAGATGGAACTGGGCTAGGAAGATGCATCAGGAACACAAGAGTTGTCATCCCAAGTCTCTTGCGGAAAAATCAGATTTCTATTTCTCATTTAGACATAGAAGACTCAAAGTCACACTGTCTTCTCTACGTGTCCAGTTCATGTTTTTCCTTCTCTCAGTTCCTCCCCCAACCTCCTGCCTGAGGCCTCCAGGCTGTGAGATGCAGAGGAAACGCCTCCCCAGAAACACCAGCATCTCTAGGTCTGGAGGCAAGGCCACCTAGGGTTTCTGAGACACAGTTCAGTGCTGCTGGCGGGGGAGGAGCATAACCAAGGCCTGAGCCGGGCCACTCGGAACCGTTAGGTATGAAGAGGTCTTTGGACAGTCTGGCCTTGGCTTCTCACATGCGCCTGATGTGAGGGTGCGGGGGACAAAAGTGAAAGGAGTGATCCCTGGGCCTTTGACCAGTCCCCATTCCACTCTCAAAAAATGGGCCCACAGGTGGCATGAGCAGCAGGGTACCAGGAGAAGCTGATAAGAAGCCGAGGTCAAGAGTGGCCCCGAGGAGGGCAGGTGGTGGCAGGGAAATGGCCTTGGGCAGTAAGCACACAGAGCCACCTCAGTCTGAAAGGGGACTAACCCTGTGATGCCCGAGGGCCCCTCAGGCCACAGGACAGGAGCCCAGGATTCCATCACTGCTGGGAGGAAAAAGGAAAGGCCGGGCCCACCATGCCCAGGCCCCAGGTCTCAGACGGGAGGAGGCCAAGGCAAGACACCCCCAGGGGACCCCAGGGAAAGCAGTGGGAAGAAGAAAAGCAAGATGGATGCTCAGCTTTCCAACCCAGCTCACGGAGCTTTATTCAGATGGGAGCAACAAGATCCTGCCTGGTTCCTGCTGCCCTTGAAGGGCAGGCCCTGCTGGGCCACGTTCCCTTTGGGAAACCCGGCGTTGAAGGCCCATGTCCGACCTCTCACTTTCCTCAACACTCCTGGAACTGGGGCTGCGACTGCCTAGAAGCACCTTTTCAGAACCTGTACTCGGACCTAGGCCTTGTTCCTCTTCCCACACCCACCACTCCGGCTGTCAGGCCCAGGGAGACCCATGAATGACAAAACTCATGTAGGGATCCTTCCTGAGCTGGGAATCCCCTGCCAGCTTCAAGGACACATCATGTGATGACAGGGGAAGTGGACCTCAGTCAGACCCTTCTGCCTCACGTGCACACACACACATACACAAGTACATGCATACGCATTCTTACTCAGGCTTTCAGGAAGGAAGTGATGTGGCAGAGTGGCCTTTGGCACATGCCATCACTCCACTGAAGGATCGACTGAAGAATCAGTTTGCACAAGGGGGCCTTAATCATTACTGCCAACAATTGCCCCAGGGTCCGATTATATAGAGGTGGCCTCTGTTCTTGACTGACCACAGCCTCGCTCAAGGGCAAGTTATCCACAGTGCTGATTCTTCCAGCTGTCCCAAAAGGAATCCTCCATGAATTTTGAGGCCCCAGGACTTCCCTTGCTGGAAAAGTCACTGATGAGGTTCCATTTGCCTCAACCAGCCTATAGCTCCTGGACAGGGGGGACGCAGGGTCAGGCACAACACCCGTCCCGTGTCCCACACAGCAGGGCAGGGAAGACACCTGGGCCCTCAGTGCTCACCCATGGTACCAGCCTGAGCCCCACAGAGGGATGGAGAGGGGAGAGGGTGGGCTGAGGCTCTCAGCTACCTGGGAAGCCACCAGTGCTCTGAGCCAGAAGTGAGAAGGCTCCTTTAAGCCAAAAATATCATGGCTCTGCTCCTACCCTGCTCAGGCAGGGAGGGTGAAACCTGGAGAGGGGCATTCCTGTGCTCCGCAATAAAAAAGGTTTTTTAAATATATTCATCAAAATAGTTTTCTTTTAAAAAGCCCCCCACTGCTGACAGCCCCACTGGCTGGCTCTCCATCATATCCCTCCCCAGTTCGGACACAGCCGGAGGGGTCCCGAGTGGCCCAAGCACCCCTCTGAGTCCTTCCCACCCAGGAGGTCTTCGTGGGCAGGGAGGAGAGTGCCCCGAGGTCCATGGCGGGTGGGTGTGCTCTCCACTGGCGCTCCTCCTGACTACTCCAGGCCCAGGATGTAGTTGATGCCTTGCACCAGACCAATGATGACAGGCTGCCAGGCTACCAAGTATCGAAGCCAATCCAGCAGTTGCCCATACATGACATGAGGCCTCTCCCAGCTGTCAGCATGTTAAAGAAAAGAGGCTACGTGCAAGAGCTGCCAGGGCTGATCTAACACGGGCAGAGGGCGCCCAGGTCTGTCCCCACTTCCAAGCTGCTTCACAGCTTAGAGGAATGGGAGCTGCTTTCTAGAAGGGCCAACCAGCTTCTCTTCAGCTGTCCACATTGGAAGGAACTGCCAAAGTCAGGGGAAGGGAGGGTCAGAAGGGCAGCAGGGACTGGTGTGGGAAACAGGACGGACATGAGAGAAGTAGAGAGGTGAATCCTAGGTCTCCATGACCACATGAAGGGAGGGCCTCCCCTGCAACACTCTCTAAGACAAGACTGCCAGGTAAGAAGACATAGCCTAAGGCTGCTGTGTCTGTGACGATGGTTGAGAGGACGCTGGGAGTGGAATAAGGTAACCCTGAAGGTTCTAATCCAAAACTGGAGGCTTTCTCGGCCTAGAACACAGCCAGAAGGGAACAGGGAGCAAGAGGCTAGTCCTAAGAGGTTAGCACCTGGTAGCGCTCTAGAGAGGTCCATCCAGGCAGGAGCGCTAAGGACCAGGCCCCACTGAGGCCGAGCAGCCCTGGAGACATGGTCCTATCCCTCCATCTAAGGGTTGGGGAAGGTATCTGGGAGAGAGCCTGGAAAGCCCAGTTCTGGGAAAAGTACAGGGAGAAGACTCCCAACAGCATCAGAAGATCAGCCTGGTCCGGTACCTGAGAGCTAAGGGAAGCCTTAAGCCTCAGCTGAGCCACAGTCACTTAACTGTCCCTAAGCCAGGCCCTGGAAGATCCAAGCAGGGCACTTGAATGGGGACAGACCTGAGTCTTCTGCTCAGGGAGGGGGGAGCATGCTAAGAACTGGCCACGCACCCCCCACATAACCCAGCTAGAATGCAGGGGAAGGAAGGGGGAGAGGGAACCGTGGAGCAGAAAGCAAGGGTGGCTGGGAGAGGAGAAGCGAGAAAGGGGTTCCTGGGCCCAAGGGGAAGTGAAGGTGGGGCCAGAGAAGTGGCTGGCACTTCCTAACAGACAGGCTGAGAGGAGGGTGAGGGTAAAGTGGGAGGGCTGCTTGTGGAGGACGTGGCAACCCAGAGGAGCACAGGTCCTGTGTTCACAGTGGATGGGGACAGGGTCCCTCGCTGCTCTCCAGCACTGTGTGTCACAGGGGAGGCATGACTCCTTAGCCACGTAACCCTAACCAAGTTCTTCGCTTGTAAAACGAGGATAGCATCATCCAGGTCACACAGCTGCTGGAGAATCAAGTGAGCTGACATGAGGGAAGCCCCGAGCTCAGTGCCAGGCCTCAGTGAACAGGCGGGTGAAAGCAGCTCTGGTACAGAACTATGTTGGGAAGCTGAGCTGCTGGTCCTGCCCCATGTCCCACCCCCAGCTGCCCTAGAACAGAAGTCAAATTGAATGCCAGTCGTGAGCTTATGGATAGGAGGGAGGGCCCCAGGAGGACCCAAACACTGGGTCACACTGGTCAGCACCTTCTTCCCACAACCCGCTCCCAACAAAGATCCAAACAAAGGATACGGGTTGCTGAACATCCTCTTGAGGTCTACCTTCTCTTTGCAGTAGGGACACGTCTGTTTCTTTCCCACGATGCACCAGCCCCGGATGCAGAACTCGTGGAATCTGAGCACCACAGGTCAAGGGAAATGGTGAGACACCAGGATGGCACTCCAGCCTCATGCCAGTCTTCAAGGTGCCTGCACACCAGCTGCTCTGAAGAAGGGTTAAACCCTGGCTTCACTTCTTACCGGCTCTGTCATCTTCACTTCTCACCTCTCTCTGAACCCGTTTCCTCTCATGTGAAGTTAGGACAATGATCCCTCTCTCACAGGGTTGCTATGGGGCACACTGGAGAGAATACATGGCTCTCCCAACACAGGCACAAAACGTAAGCTGCATGAGTACAGGACAAATCTCAGAAGTGTTATTTGGAAGAGAGGACTTGATTCTAAGCCAAAAGATCCTGTTAGAGGGTCCTCTCCCTGTGACCCAATCTTGGGTCTGCTGGCACATCCTCATGAGCAGCAGCCTCAGTGTGCTCTCAGACCCAGCCAGGCTGTAACTAATGTTTACACAAGGGTGGCTCAATCTATGGGAAAGGGCAAGGAAGGCTGCTCTCCTGAGGCTCTCCTGCACTCAAAGGTCTGGGCAGCACACCTGTGGCCATGACCAACCCTTCCCTTCCTGACAACAGTGTGCAGGTCGCAGGAGAGATGTGGCCCAGGAGCTCAAGACAGGATACACGTGATTGCAGGACAGTCTATACGTGTTCTCGATGATGCCCTCTTCACTGACGTCCACAAAGATCTGCTGCCCACACACGGCACACACACTGTCCGAAAGATGCTTAGTAGGCATGCCCGACTCGCTGTAGAACTAGAGAGCAGGAAGGAAAGACAGGAAGAGCTATGAAAGCAGCACAAGTGGGAAACCCCACAGAGGCCTTATGTCTTCTGGAGAGGAGACAAAGTGGGGGGGGTGGCACCCTGCATTAGAGGACATCTTTTATAAGCAAATGGACATCTTTTGCTGGGTCAATAGGGAGAAGTGAACAGACCAGAGATAGGTCAGGAAGTGAGATGTAACAGGACCCAAGGACTAGCCTGGGTTGGCACCAGGGAACGGGAGAGAGAAGGACTCAGGGCTGTTGATCAGGAGGTATGTTAGGTAAGCCATTCTGTAGCCAGATATGGTTCCATCAGGGACAGCATTATCTCCAACATCTAAATAACTGAATGCGATGTTGGTTTGGCGACAAGGGCATTCCCGGACATTTGTGGCAGCAGCAACAGAGGTTCAATCCTTTTGGAAAGCATATAGCATGGTGTCTCAAACTGTCACACCCCTTCACCTATTAATTTCACTCTATTGAATTTATTTATTTATTTATTTTGAGTCGGAGCCTCACAGTCGCCCAGGCTGGAGTACAGTGGCACGCTTATGGCCACCGCAGCTGCGACCTGCTGGGCTCAGGTGATCCTTCTGCCTCAGCCTTCCAGGTAGCTGGAACTACAGGTGTGCAGCACCACCCCTGGCTAATTTTTTATTTATTGGAGAGACAAGGTCTTCCCAAATTGCCCAGGATTACCCCTGAAATGGGGTAATCCTCTCGTCCCAAAGTGCTGGGATTACAGGTTTGAGCCACTGCACTCAGTGACTCAGGAATTTAAAGAAATAAGTGGAAATATCAAAAAGCTTCATGGATACAGATACTCATGTACACGTTATTATAATTAAAGAACAGAATCTGGCATTTCCTAAAAAACTTAAACACAGAATTACCATCTGACCAGCCATTCCATTCCTTAGTAGAGACCCAAAAAACATGAAAACAAGGACTAAACAGATACTTAAATGCCAGTGCTCACAGCAGCACTATTCACAGTACTCAAAAAACAAAAACAACCCAAATGTCCATCAACAAATGAACAGATAAACAAAACGTGTTATACACACACAATGGAGTATTATTCAGCCATAAAAAGGAATGGAGTTCTGATATATTCTACACCTAGATGAACTGTGAAAACACTACGATGAGCCAGGCTCGGTGGCTCAGCCTGTAATCCCACGCCTTTGGGAGGCTGAGGTGAGTGGATTGCCTGAGCCCGCGGGTTTGAGACCCGCCTGGGCAGGCGAGACCTCATCTCTACAATAAATCAAAAAAATTAGCCGGGTGTGGTAGCACGCGCCTGTAATTCCAGCTACTCGGAAGGCTGAGACGGAAGGATCGCGGAGCCCAGCAGGTCGAGGCTACGGTGGCCGGGAGCGGCCACTGCACTCCAGTCTGGGTGACAGAGCGAGACTCCAACTCAAAAAAAACAAAAAACAAAAAAACTACGATGACCACTTACATACCTAAATCTGAATTGTACCCTACATCTAAAAAAAAAAAAGAAAACACTATACTAAGTAAAAGAAGACAGATACAAAAGGACAAATATTGTATGATTCTTCTTACACGGAGTACCTACAACAGGCAGGTTCATAGAGATGGAAGGTAGACTTGAGATACACCGGAGCTGGGGGTAGAGAGACTATGGGGACTTACAGCTTACGGGCAGAGTTTCTGTGTGAAACAATGAAAAATTTTGGAACTAGATAGTGATGATGGCTGCACAACATTGTGAATGTAGTTAATGCACTGAACTGTATACTTTAAAATGGTTGAAATGGTGATTTTTATGTTTTATATGTCTGTATAAATATAATATATATCTACAATTAGAAACATATGTAGTTTAAAAAAACAAGCAAAAAAAAAAAAGAAACAGAAATAACCACAAACGACCAACAACAGGAGAATACTAAATAAGTTACAGAACACACGAAGGGACTACCGATCGTCAAAACATGCTTAAGATACAACGTTAATAAGCAGGGTGCAAAACTCGATGCACAGTATATCATGTGTAAAGACAATCCCATATCTACACAAAGAAAAAAGATCAGAAGAAAACATATCACTGGTAATGTTTTGGTAGTGGGATTACAAATGACTGTGAGTTTTTTTGTCTACTTTTCTTTTCCAGTTGGACCTCAACTGGCTGGGCATAGTGGTTCACATCTATAATTCCAGCACTTTAGGAGGCATAGGCGAGAGGACTGCCTGAGCCCTGGGGTTTGAGACCAGCCTGGGCGACATGGCAAGACTTCATCTCTACAATAAAAAAAAAAAAAAAAAAAAATTAGCTGGGCATAGTAGCACATGCCTACAGTCCCAGCTACTTGGGAGGTTGAGATAGAAGGATCACTTGAGACAGAGTGAAACCCTGTCTCAAAAATAAAAATAAAAAATTTATAAAATAAGAACTAATCATCATCATTAAAAGGGATATAAGGGAACATTGCAAAGGGATTCCTAACTGACCCTAGGTCATCTGAAAAGGCTTTTTTAAGGGCATGACAGTGTAGGTTGAGACTAAAAGGACAGGTAAAGTGGAAAGAAGAAGTCCTGAGGAGACTGGTGAACTTGAAAAACTGAGAGTCTACTATGGCTAGAGAGTAAACCTGGTCAGCCACGAAGACTCTGAACTTAAAATGGGAAGTTACTAAAGGCTTTATTAAAATATCACATAACATGATCAGTCTCAATTTTTTTTTTTTTGAGTTGGAGGAGTCTCACTCTGTCGCCCAGACTGGAGTGCAGTGGCTGCTCCTCAACCTGCTGGGCTCTGGCAATCCTTCCGCCTCAGCCTTCCGAGTAGCCGGAATTACAGGCATGCACTACCACGCCCGGCTGATTTTTTTGATTTATTGTAGAGATGAGATCTCTCTGCCCAGGCGGGTCTCGAACAAGCGGGCTCAGACAATCCACTCACCTCAGCCTCCCAAAGGCGCGGGATTACAGGCTGAGCCACCAAGCCCGGCTTAGACTCGAATTTTTAAAAGATCACTGTCTTCCGTGTAAAGAATGAATCAGAAAAGAGGCCACCATGAATTCGGACACCAGCTAGGAGACTATTATAATTCTTTAAAAGCGATAAATGATGGAGACCTATGCAAAGCTCATGGCTTGGGCTAATTTGGTGGTGGTAAAAATCAAGAGGAATCGACAAATTGATGATGCCAAATAGTTGAATAGTAAAGAGCTAGAGCCCAGAAGAGAGTTCTGGATTAAAGATCTGGAAGCCATAGAAAAAGAAAAGAAAAACACCTAGGCAAAGAGTAGGGAAGATAGCTTAGGTTTGAGCTCAGGGAAACAATGACATTGTTGGTGACTGTTTGATCCTCATGTTCCTATGCTCAGAGGTAGAGGGAGGTACCTGGGTTTACTCTTGAGCCAGACAGTTAAAAAATTAGCACAGACCCAGGTCTGATCATTTAGGATCCAAGGGCAAGCTCCATTAGGCATGGTGATTTTTCAAAATGAGACAATCGTTGTAGTCTGGATTATAAAACCTATTTGAGTTTCTGCCGAGCTTATCTTCTTCCAGAATAGCCTCCACCACCCATAGACAAGGGTCTCTGCAGCCATATTTAAACTGCCTTACCCTTCCACACTGGTCAGTCAGTTAGGCCAGGAAAAAAAATTTGCATGGAGACCATGAAATGGTGGAGGTAGCTAGTGAGATCCCATACAGAGAAGGAGGGGATGAAGAGCAGGGTTTTCTGTTTGTTGTCTGTTTGTTTGAGTCGGAGTCTCACTCTGTCACCCAAGCTGGAGTGCAATGGCACAATCATGGCTCACCTCGACCTCCTGGACTCAGGTGATCCTTCCACCTTAGCGGAAGTAGCAAGGACTACAGGCACATGCCACCATACCCGAAGAGCAGGAGTTTGAGGCACTCTACACACCAAGAAATTCTCTCATTGGGTCTCTTGGTGAAGATGGAATTTATCATTATTAGGGAATTATCACTTATTTTAGGGATTACTACTTTTAATCACTGAAGTACCTAATAATTCTTCCTGAATTCTTTTTGGGGAGTAAACTGGTTAATGAAGGATCTGACATCTACACAAATGGGTAAGAGTGAAATGAAGCTAAAACCTACAACTATCCAAAAAATGATCTAATAAGCTATCTATAAAGTGACTTAAAACGGTGGGACGTGGTGGCTCACACCTATCATCTCAGCACTTTGGGAGGCCGAAGTGAGAGGACTGCCTGAGCCCACGGGTTCGAGACCAGCCTGGGCAACTTGGCAAGACCTCATCTCTACACTAAATTAAAAAATTAGCCAGGTGTGGCGGTGCGTGCCTGTAGTTCCAGCTACTTGGAAGGCTGAGGAGGAAGGGTCACCTGAGCCCAGCAGGTTGAGGCTGTGGTAGCCGTGAGTGTGCCACTGCACTCGAGCCTGGGCGACAGAGTGAGACTCTAACTCAAAAAAATTAAATAAACAAAATAAAGTTACCTAAAACACTTTGCTTTCAAGTTGATTCAGTAGAGGAAAAATAAAAATAGTCCCATGATTCTGAAAACAAAGTCCTTGGCCTAAAGCTGTACTTGATTAACGCTACCCAACATGATAGAAATATTCCTTAGGGTGGGATCTGAGGGGATGCTACTGAGATGAAGAGCAACTCTGTGTTGTTTAAATAAATACCAAAAGAATATATACTTTTATAAACAGCAAAACAACACATATGTATTTCCATTTTGAAAAAAAAATTACTTGGGTTTCTCATGTTGGTTGTTAATTTACTCATAGTTTAAGCCTGAAGTCCCTCCCCTGGTCTCCTAGTTTTTTTTTTGTTGTTTTTTTTTTGAGTTGGCATCTCACTCTGTTGCCAGGCTGGAGTGCAGTGGCACACTCACGGCCACTGCAGTCTCGACCTGCTGGACTCCGGCGATCCTTTGGTCTCAGCCTTCCACATAGCTGGAACTACAGGCACATGCTACCACACCCGGGTAATTTTTTATTTATTGTGGAGACGAGGTCGCAACAAGTTGCCGGGGCTGGTCTCGAACCCATGGGCTCAGACAATCCACTCACCTCAGCCTCCCAAAGTGCTGGAATTACAGGCTGAGCCACCAAGCCTGGCCTGGTCTCCTAATCTTATTGCAGCATTTCCTCTCGTGAAAGGTCCTACTGCCAAGCAGTTGCTGAGTCTTGATAATGTCACTTTTGATAACTACATTCCTTCATATTTTTTCCTTCAGTCTCCAGAACCCAACTATGGCCAAGTCCTGTCAAATTTACCTCCAAAACACTTCTCAAATACAGTACGTCCTCACTTAATGTTAGCAATAGGTTCTTGGAAACTGCGACTTTAAGTGAGATGTATAACAAAACGGAATTTGCCACAGGTTCATTGATATAAACAAGAGTTACGTTCCCCTGGCATATTTCTGGTAACAAAAACATCGCCAAACTTCTATTTAAGAAACACCAAATTGCCTCTTAAGTAAAGACCCAAAACACTTCTAACATTAAACGCTGAAATAAATGGGAGCTACACATACATTTAAGGAAGATTAATGAGGCCAGGTGTGGTGGCTCACCCTTGGGAGGTAGAGGTGGAAGGATTGCTTGAGCTCAAGCATTTGAGACCAGCCTAGGCAACATAACAAGGCCCTGTCTCTACAAAAAATAAAAAAATTAGCTGAGCATGGTGGCACACACCTGCAGTCCCATCTCAGAAGCTAAGGCAAAAGTGTTGCCTAAGCCCAGGAGGTCTAGGATGCAGCAAGCCACAATCGTGTCACTGCACTCCTGTCTGGGTGACAGTGTGAGATACCAATTCAAAAAAGAAAAAAAAAAGATTAATGAAAACAAATAAAATAATTATTTTCCCAATTTTTGTGAATCAGTGAGTGATAGTGGCTGTAGTCATAGTGGGTTAAATCAAGAAATACGTTTTAGCTGGGCTCGGTGGCTCAGCCTGTAATCCTGCACCTTGGGAAACTGAGGTGAGTGGGTTGCCTGAACCCATGGGTTCGAGACCCGCCTGGGCAACTTGGCGAGACCTCATCTCTACAATAAATCAAAAATCAGCCGGATGTGGTAGCACACGCCTGTAGTTCCAGCTACTTGGAAGGCTGAGGCGGATGGATCTCCGGAGCCCAGCAGCTTGAGGCTGCGGTGGCCGAGAGCAGCCACTGCACTCCAATCTGGGCGACAGAGTGAGACTCCAACTCAAAAAAAAGAAATACATTTTGCAAAGCAAAAAGTGTAAGGAGCACTGCCTACCACCATGCAGTTCAAAAACAAATAATAACCAATATGGCAGGCTTCCCATGTACTTTCATATCATTTAATGTTGCACATGTGTGATTATCATATACTCCATGAGTTATTTTTTAATAATTTGGATTCCTTCACTCATTCATTTTCCAAGCCACTTATTCCATTAGGCTCTCAGGTGGCAGAGCCTATTTCAGGATCTCAGGACACAAAGCAAGAACCTACCCTGGACAGGACGTCATTTCATCATAGGGCACTCACATACAAACCCGTACTCACACTAGGACATGCCAGTTCACCTAACGTGCACACTTTTGGGATATGAGAGAAAAACCACAAGATGGTGGTCCCAGTTAAGAAACAATCTTCTCATCAATGTCAAAATGAAACAATATTGAATAAAATGACATTATCTAATGACCCGCCACAGTCCACGTCTCTCTCTTCCCACCATCTCTCCCATAATCCAAGCTACCTTCAACTTGCTGGGAAGATGCAATTGCCTCTTAAACAGTCTTAAGTGGTCCACTCTAAACTGGACCCCTTTGTTGTCTAGCCAGCAGCCAGAACCGTCTTTGCAAAATGCAAACCTGATGGCCATTCCCCATCTTAGCCTCCTAGTTGTTGTTTTTTTTTGAGTCAGAGTCTCACTCTATCGCCCAGACTGGAGTGCAGTGGCACGCTCACAGCCACTGCAGCCTCAACCTTCTGGGCTCAGGCGATTCTTCAGTCTCAGCCTCCCAAGTAGCTTGAACCTCAGGTGTGCGCCACCATTCCCAGCTAATTTTTCTTGATTTATTGTAGAAATGAGGTCTCACGAAGTTGTCCAGGCTGGTCTCGAACTCCTGGGCTCAGGCAATCCTTTCGCCTCAGTCCCCCAAAGTGCTGGGATTACAGGCATGAGCCACCACATCTGGCCAGCCTCCCAGTCTTTTTAGTACAAATATAATCTTTAATTTGGCCTATCAGGCTTTTTTCTAGTCTAGCCTGTTTCCCCAGACACTTCTACCATATTCTCAGCTATACAACAACACTAGCCTTACTTAGTTCCTCAAAAACACCCACACTTTCTCCTATGACAGGACTCTTATACGTGCTATTTTTCTCTACCCAGTACACACTTCACTTCCCACTTTATCTGCTTAACTCCTACTCATTGTATAAGTCAGCTCAATAGTCACTTCTTCAAAGAAGTCATCTGTGAGCCCCGAGACTAGATGAAATGTCACTACTACATTTGCTCATAGCATCATGAGTCTTTCCTACATAATGCTTATTAAAGTATGTTTATCGCCAGGCACAATGGCTGAAGCCTGTAATCCCAGCACTTTGGGAGGCAGAGGTGACAGGATTGCCTAAGCTCAGGGGTTCGAAACCAACCTGAGCAACATGGCGAGACCTCATCTCCACAATAAATCAAAAAATCAGTCAGGTGTGGTGGCACATGCCTGTGGTTCCAGCTACTTGGAAGGCTGAGGCAGAAGGATTACCTGAGTCCAGTAGGTTGAGGCTGCAGGGATCATGAGTGTTCCACTGCACTCCATCCAGCCTGGTCAACAGAGCGAAACTCCAACTCAAAAAAAAAAAAAAAAAGTATGTTTATCTGTGTATTTATTCCTTTCATACCCATCCTCCCACCAGAGAATAAACTCTATTTAGGCAGAGACTACGTTTATTTATACACACATTTTTTTCCCCCTAGGTTGGGGGTCTCACTCCCAGGCTGGAGTGCAGAGGATTGATCACAGCTTACCACAGTCTCAACCTCCTGGGCTTAGACAATCCTCTCACCTCAGCCTTCTGAGTAGCTGGGACAACAGTTATGTACCACCACAATTGGCTAATTTTTAAATTTTCCGTAGAGACGAGGTCTCGCTATGTTGCCCAGGCAGGTTTTGAACTCCTGGGTTCAAGCAATCCTCCTATGTGGTCTCCCAAAGTGCTGGGGTTACAGGTGTAAGCCACTGTGCCCAGTCTTATTTCTGTTTACTTTTGAAATTCCAGCACATAGCTCAGTGCCCCAGGCACATGGAAGGCATTAAAAAACATTTATTGAATGAATGTTAACTTCTTGCTGGGTAAAGTGGTTCTTTCCTATAATGCCCTTGAAGTTAAAAATTCCAAGGTCTATCTGGTATCTGGGTTTCCAAATTATATGGAAGGCATGTCCATAGATACCATCTATATCTTGAAGGATTCTATATGGCTTATCTTATCCCCTAGCACCTTTCTCTTCCATCAAACAACTGATGTCAGCCTAAACACTCTGAAGGTAGCAAGAGGCGGTATTAATAGGGGTGAACTCACCCCTATGGTAGATGCCATGTAGTCTGCACACATTTCTGCAAAGTCACGTTCGAGAACTCCATAGTAGAGGCCGTAGAAGAGAAGAGAAATGCCAAAGTCCATGGCATCTTCTGGTTTGATCCTGTGAGGGAAATAGCATAACTAGTAAGACCTGCCCTAAGAAACAACTGCTTTGGATTATACTCTGGGACACAAAACACAGGGCCTAAAGTGGAAAGGCTCAATGGCTAGAACAAGTATTGGCAAGCTATGACCAAATCCAATATGCTGCCTTTTTTTTTTTTTTAAACTCTCCAAAGGAAGAAGTGCTTTTTTTAAAAATTTTTTTAAAAATTTTAAAGATGTGGGGTACAATTCAGGATTAGGTATACAAGTAGTCACCATACAGGTGAAGTTTGGGCCTCTCTTTGGTCCCCACTTTGCCTGGTTTGAGATCAAGTACCCTTACTGATGTTGTGTCCCCCCTTGCCCTCACCCTGGCAGTATCCCACTACCACCAATCCCTTTCTTATAGTACTATGGTAAATGTTCAACCTCCGTTTGTGAGTGAGAACATGTGGTACTCTGTTCTTTGTTTCTATGATAGATCACTGAGTATGACAGACTCTAAATCCATCCAAGTTGCTATGAAGTCCATATGTTTGTCCTTCTTTATGGTTGCATAATATTCCTTTTTTTTTTAAAACCAGTTCAGTTTTGATGGGCAGCATGCTGCCTGTTTTTATGTGGCCCATGGCCACCTCCTGAGGAGGACAGACGGTGAGCTGCAAAGACCAAGCTGGAGGATCCCCTCCTGCCCCTTTTCCCCATTCTGCTCCCTGTTCCTGTCTCCCTGTACTGGTGGCAATGCCTTGCAGCTGCCCAGGACCTGTACTCATAACTACATACTGGTGACTCCACTGTTGGCAACCACTGGAGACCAAGGGAGCTGCCTCACTGAACTGCCTCACCTCTAGCCAGCCACTCAAGTTGAAGTAGTTGAGCCCTCCAAAAGGAAAAAAGGGCACACCAGGATCTGAGTGTTACTGGAGCAAAGAGTGAAAATCATCCCAGTGGTCACTCATGTCCTGCCAAGTTGCTCCATTTAAGAATGTCTCAGCTGGTGGCAACTGAGCACAAAGTATGCCTGCTCCCTGAGACCTGCCCCCACTTCCCAGGCAAACAGGACAGGGCAGGGCAGCAGTTTTCACTATTGCTATATAAGTACCTACATAATGTTCTAGATTGTGCCTATTATCCCACAGGGCCTAAAATATTTACTATTTGGCCCTTTACAGAAAAAACCTGCCAAACACAGGTTTAGAAAAAAAGACAAAATTAGTAAATACATACCAGTTATCATCAAATTATCAGCTGTATCTATACACATTCTGTATAATGTCATCAAAGTTAACTTTTGGTCCAAGTCTATTTGCCAAGGCTAAAGATCTTGCCTAATATTTGAAGGTCTGTTCTAATAATTCTAGGGACCAATATTTTGCAAACTTGAGTCTCTATATGTTTTCTATAGAAAATTACTTTTGTTAAAATATTTGTACAAAGGACTGTATTTGTTCACTTGCAGTTGTACATTTATCATAGAAAGTTGAATTTGCTCATGAACCTTGTAATATTTAAGTCACTGGCTAGAAATCATTGATCTTACACCAATTAATGAGATCAGCAGCACAAAAATTGTCAAGATTCTCAATTCTGTTTTCCTCCATGTATAGTTTAGGTAACTAAGAAGAAACTGTAATTATAGAAGAAGCATCTTTAAAGCATAATGCAAAATCTTGATTTTTATTTTTTTAACCGCACAGGTCAGAAAGATACCAGGAAATACCTTTGTTTTCTTTGACTCAATGTGATATAGACTCTACAGCAATGAATTCCTCTAATTCTGGAGGCTGTTTATTCTTTCAGCCTGTACTACCTCTGAAAGAAAGAATCCCATGGATGTCCTCTCACTATATAAAATAGTATTTTTTTTGTGAGGTGGGGTCTTGCTCTGTCATCCCGGTTGGAGTGCAACAGACGTGATCATAGCTCACTACTGCCTTGAACTCCTAGGCTCAAGTATTCCTCCCACCTCAGCCTCCCAAGTTGCTGGGACTAAAGGCACATCCCACCACACCTGGCTAATTAAAAAAAAATTTTTTTTTAGGCCAGGTTTGGTGGCTCATGCCTGTAATCCTAGCATTTGGGGAGGCTGAGGCAGGAGGATTGCTTGAGTCCAGGAGCTCAAGACCAACCTAGGCACATAATAAGACCTCATCTCTAAAAAAAAAAAAAAATTTTTTTTAGAGTCACATTATGTTGCCCAGGTTGGTCTCAAACTCATGGTCCCAAGCAATCCTCCCACTTCAGTCTCCTAAATAGCTGGGATTACAGGTGGAAGCTACCAGGCCTGGCCAGGATATATTTTTACTTATCCTAAAAGAAACTCCTGCCTGCAGTATACTAGGTTTGGGGAAGCAGCCAGTGATTATCTCACTCATGAATTTAAACTTGAATCCTAAATCTCTTTAGCTTTAGTGCACTGTCCCAGCCTCAGGACTTCTCATGACTTACAACCCACAGCCACCATTACTTCATCTAGGAAATCACATTTCCACCCTCTTTTACCCTACTGACTCATTGTACCCTCCAGTCGCCGAGCTCAGGATTTCATGGCTTCTGCCTCAGTTGGGGGTGAGAGGAGCTCTAAGCTGGTACAGATCATATGGAAGGCTTATGACAACACGATGCAACAGCCAGAACCCCACACCTAGGAATGTACCCTTAGGAAGCAACACAGCAGTGTCACCTGTGATAGTACTAAACTGAAAGATACCTAAGTGCCCAACAGAAGAGCAGGACTTAAACGTCCACAGGTTAACTGCCTAGAACTGTTCCTTGGGAATCTGATAAAGGTCAAATGTCAGCTTGTGTTACAGGCAACACCACTTATATGTTAAACGTGACCTGTGATTAGTACACTGCATCTGGACTGGGACATTCTTGAAACTAAATGTGTGCTGGTGGGGATGGGGCTCCTCTGCACCCGTCTGTATGGTCTTATTCCCTCACACACCTTAGCTCCAGGACTACTGTGAAGACTCCTGCAGACACTGCCTTGCTGTGTTTCCTGTCTTCTATCCTTCTAAGTGGATCTGTTGCCAGGTGTCGCCAACCATGGTCACATGAGTTTGACAGTCTAGCCCAAGGGTCAGCAAACTTTTTCTGTAAAGGGCCAGATAGTTAATATTTTAGGCTTTGCAGCCCATATCATCTTATCACAACTATTTAACTCTGCTGTTTTAGTGCAAAAACAGTCATAGACAATATGTAAATGAATAGGTAACCCTTTGGGTCTCCTCCTCCTGTGGGAACTTTTCTGTCCTCTCAATAAATTCTTCTTAAAAAAAAAAAATGAATGAGCATGACTATGTTCCAGCACAAGTCTATTTGATAAAAACAGGTGGTGGGTTGATTTGGCCCACAGAGAGTAGTTTGCCAACCCCTGGTCTAGCCAAACATAAGGCAGAGTGGATGTTGCAAATAAACAGTACACATGAACAAGGAAAATGGTTCTGTGTTCAGGTGATAGCAATAATAGGTAACTGGTTTTAGTCATGACTACGTTTTGCTTACTTCTGTTACTACTTTTCTGCTAAAATATAAATTGTTGGAAAATATAAGCAATGATTTGTGACTCTCACTTTGTATATATTGAACATTGTTTCTTTCGGCCAGCAAAAGTCATGGAGGGCCTACCCTCACCCATCCCCTTGACAGCACCCAAGTCCTCTGTCCTGGGTGATATATCCCTCTTGTTAATTCCCAGAACTTGCAGCAGAAAGAAAGGTATATCAGCCACTCCTCCCCAAGTACCAGCAAAACAAAAGTAAAGGGTACTCACTTGAATAATAAGTTAAGACCAAAGAGAGTAAACATGACAGCCAAGTAGCCAACGATGCCAGTGGCATAGCTGATTTTATAGATCAGCAGGAACCACTTATAAACCAACCTGGCGAAAGGAGAGAAAGTTAGTACAGCTGACACACAGATTCTGGCCTTGGGAGCCACTGGATCACAGAATTGCTCATTCTCACATCAATGGGGACATCAGGCCCTTTGCTCAGGACTTATTGAGCAACGTTAGTTACTATCCAGAGCTGTTGACTTTCTTAAGTTGTAGAAACACCCCCATATACCAGGGAACTAGTGCTTTGCATTTTCCTGGTCTTGGACCAGGGAAGGAAAGAGATCCCTAAAAAAGAGGTTTCAGCCTCAAACACAGAAAGAGCACAGCTGACCTTAGTCAGCTACTTCATTTCAAATTCATGTTAGTTGTATGAAAGCAAAACCTAATAACTACAGCTGTGCTCAGAAGAGAACAGGTGGGGAAGGCTAGTTTTTGTCACGAAAGAGAATTCAAGGGAAGATGAATTAGCGACAGAATTAGCTACAGGCTTTTGTACCTGAGTCGGGTTAGTCTGAATACAGCTTGGTTCCTACAGGCCAACAATGAAAGAAATGATGTCTAATAAATTTGCTTCTGATATTCATTATTTTTTCCTGGAGAAGAAGGGATAAAGAGGGAGAATCTCAAAAAGCACCTTTGAATTGGATGTATGTGGGTGGTGGTGGTGTTGGTAGTAGAGTGAAGTGAGGTTGTTCATTCCCCTAAAGAAGGAGCAGTGCACCCCAGGATCCAAAGAAAAACAATGTGCAATCTGGCTGCTTTACCGTAGCTAGATTCAGAGAGGAAGATGGTTCTCTGAATAAACCAGAACCTTTTAAAAGCTATAGGGGTAGGTCCCTGATATCAGGAGCCATTATTCTTATCTATGATGAAAGCTAATGAACAAGTTAGCAATTTGCTTAAGTAACCAGCACAAGCCTGTGTGGCTCCTGAGAGCTGACTAGGTTACTACCAACCCTGCTGGAGCCCAGGAGGAAGCTCAAGGTCCTTCTGGGCCTGTGCCTCCCTGCTGTGACTAAGCAAGTGGAGATGGCTTCTCAGGCTAGGGAAAGGCACCAACACCTCATAGCACTGCCTTAAAGACCAACACAGCTCCATTATCCAGGGCTTGCACTGATCATAAGGGAGAGAGCTAAAGTGAGAAGGACAAGGGATTTTAGGTCAAGCAATCCTTAATCTTTATTAAGTGAGGTTTTATTAGCTGAATAACCTCAGGTAAGTCAATTACCTCCCTGAGACAAGTGGTTTTCTTTATAAAACGGGACAGCCATGCTACCTTTCTCACTGGGCTGTACAGAGCCCATTTCCTGGTATATAATACACGCTCACTAAACACAGCATAATTAAATGAGAATATTTACGAAAGTGCTTTGAAATGGCAAAGCAGGCCGGGTGCAGTGGCTCCCAGCATTTTGGGAGGCCAAATGAGAGGACTGCCTGAGCCCATGGGTTCGAGACCAGCCTGGGCAACTTGGCAAGACCTCATCTTTACAATAAACCAAAAAATTGGCTGGACGTGGTGGCACACACCTATAGTTCCAGCTACTCGGAAGGCTGAGGCGGAAAGACTGTCTGAGCCCAGCAGGTTGAGGCTACGGTAGCTGTGATCGTGCCACTGCACTCCAACCTGGGCAACAGAGTGAGACTCCAACTCAAAAAAAAAAAAAAATCGCAAAGCACTATCACAAATGTTAGGTATTATTATAAAAAGCTCTCCACATTATAAACACATTTCAAGTCATTTTAGCTAGAAGCTGACACTGTTACTTAATGGGTCTTAACATGTTTTATTGCATATTTTCTTCATGTCATCCCCATACGAGGTAGCAGTTATTGTCCCAGTTTTAGAGACGAAGAGAATTTAAGGCTCAGGAAGGTGAGGTCATACTACTAACAAGTGGCAGGGCTAGGGATTCCAAATCACATTCATTTGGCTTCAGAACCTGTACCTTCCATAAAGGCCCTCAGAGTAAACTACCAAAGTCAGTGGGGCTTCTGGATCACCCACTTCACCTTGTACAATGAAACTCAGAAGGCCAGAGAAAGGCCTCCAGTAAAGTGGAACATAAGAGGCATAGGAAGATCTGCAATTTGAGAGACTTTGGATCAAGTGGTCACAACTTAGAGGCTGGCCAGTTCCTCTGGTAAGCTCTCTTGGACCGGTGCATATCTGTCACAGCACTTACCAACTGCACAGCAACAGGTGCCTTCTCATCCATCTCCTCCATTAAACCGAGTACTCCTTGAGGACAGGGACCATGTCTTATCCAGCTCTGTATCCCCAGGGCTCAGCACAGGGCCTGGCACATAGTAGGTGCTTATTTGAATGAATGAGAAAATCTTTCTTTTTTCTGTCATGTACAAATATTAAATGACCTCACAAGCTGGTTGGGAGGATCAAATGAGAAACGAATTTGGATAAAATACAAAGAATGATACAGACAGCAGTTGTCTTGTGACCCAACAACAAAGAATAAAGTATTGATTGTTGGAAAATTACCAATTTGCTGAGATTCATTCATTCAACAAAAATTCAGAGTACGCTACTATGTGCCTGACCCTGTGGTACAGCCTGGATGTACAGTGACAAACAAAATGGATGTGGTTCCTGATCTCATGGATACAGTTTAGTGGGAGAGACATATACTCAAAATAATATTTAGTTATAGCTGTGGTAAGTTCAATCAAGGAGAATTGAGCCTTATGAGATAATATTAACACAAAATCTAATTTAGAGATCAGAGGAGGGTTCACAGAAGAAAATAACATTTAAATGAGACCTCAATGATTATTACAATTTGCTTATTTATTTTGTATGCTCCTTTTTTTTTTTTTTTTTTTTTTGGTGAGTTGGAGTCTCACTCCGTCGCCCAGACTGGAGTACAGTGGCCACTCCCGGCCACCGCAGCCTCAATCCGCTGGGCTCCAGGGATCCTTCCACCTCAGCCTTCCAAAGAGCCGGAACTACAGGCGTGCACTACCACGCCCGGCTGATTTTGATTTATTGTAGAGATGAAGTCTTGCCAAGTTGCCCAGGCGGGTCTTGAACCCATGGGCTCAGGCAATCCATTCACCTCAGCCTCCCAAAGCGCGGGATTACAGGCTGAGCCATCGAGCCCAGCTTGTATGCTCTTAATATAAAAACACATTAATATGAACCATAAACTAAGCTGTGGGGAAATATTTGGGGGTTATCTATGAATAGAGGGGTGGATCTCCCAATCAGCTTGCTTTAGAGGGGCCTCATGCCTAATCATTTTGGCAGACAAAACTGCAGTGTTTTCCATCTAAACCCATCCTCCTCCCATATATTCCAACCCACTAACTTCAGAAAACCTGGACTCTTCCCCACTCCCTAAACTCTCACCTTGGGGTTGTCTGGACTAGAGGTTTTCGGGTGGCTCGGAAGGTGACAAAGGCTGTGACAGCAGAGAAAAAGATCCAGATCACTAGGAACCTCCACCAGTGCAGCTTCACTGTGAAATAGAGGGGGACAACCCACATCTGAAAGAGGGTCACCATCTGAAACACAAACACAAGCACTTCAGCTCTCGTAGCTCCCTCCGTGGCCCTATCCACAGTCCAGAGTGCATCTCATTTTCTATTTCAGCCTGACTCTCTCCTACGACTCCAGTTTTGGATATAGGCAACTCCACTAGCAATCAAAGTTAGACCCTGGGACCATGCTTGACTCTTCCCTTTCATCCCTCGCTCAACTGTCTCTTGGATAGGGTCTTTTCCATTTGTGCCCATACTTTGCCTGGCTGACTGCAACAACCTCTTTGTTAGGCTCTCTGCATTCAGTATCTATCCTCTCCAGGGGCATCAGACTGGTATCTCTAACACACGATCCTGAATATGTCATTTCTCTGCTCAAAGTCCTCTAATGGTACCTTGCATATAGGATAGGCTCCAACAACCTTAGCCAGGTAGTCAAATCCTCCAGAATGTGGCCCCAAACTACTATTTTGAGGGTCACCTACCACTCCCCATGCTTTTAAGTCAGGTTGTTACCCCTCAAATTAAAACATCCTTACCACCTGCCTTTCTGCCTGATATTATCACATCCAAGATACACGAAGTCTTCAGTATCCTTTCTAGGCAGAATCAGTCATGACTTTCTAGTGCTCCAAAAACAACATCTTTTCTACCATCATTATTGTACTTATCTAGAGCATGAGGCTGGATTGTAATTCATTCTTTACCTGTATATCAGCTCTCCTTAAGGACTAATATGTCTAAGCCATATTCACATTTCCTCTGCACTAGGAAACTATCTGGTACATGATAGGTCCTCAATACATTTGGATAAATACGTTAAGAAGACAGGGTGTGATCATAGTTCACCACAGCCTTGAACTCCTGGACTGAAGTGATCCTCCCACCTCAGCCTCCCAAGTAGCTGGGACTACAGGTGTGTACCACCACACCTGGCTAATTTTTTTTTTTTTGTAGAGACCAAGTCTCACTATGTTACCCAGGCTGGTCTCAAACTCTTGGCCTCAAGTGATCCTCCCACCTCAGCCTCCCACAGTGCTGGGATTACAAGCATGAGCCACCATGTCCCAGCCCACATTTGTATTTTAGAGTGCCTATTCTACTCCTCTCCTTCAGAACTTTGCCTTAGACTTGTAAGCTAAAGAGTTTCAAATGCATAAAACAATTCTAATTCTAGAACTGGAGTAATCACCAGTCTTCTGCTCCCCAGTACCACCTTCCTGTCACTACATGCCACTCTTCTCCTCTGAGTAGCAAGTATTAAAAAAGATAGCACTTAATGGAGGTTTCTTCCTGATGTCATCAAAAGAAATAAAATAACATTTAAACAAAAAAAGAAAAAAAGAAAAGAAAAAGAAAGAAAGAAAAAGAGCTACAGAGGGGAAAAGAGTAGCTAGTTCCCTGATGTTTCACAGTAATGAAAACTAAAAAAAATTTACTCTTAGGGGTTTCTAGACTAGCACTGTCCAATTGATATATGATACAACTCACATATTAATTTAAAATTTACTAGTAGCTACATTTAAAAAAGGCAAGAAACAAATATTAATTTTAATAATATATTTTATTTACCCAATATATAAAAAAAGCTATCATCTCAGCAAATACTCAATATTGAAATATTCTTTTTTATGTACTAAAGCTTTGACATCCAATGTGTCTTTTACATTTACAGTGGACTAGCTCTATTTCAAGTGATCAGTAGTCACATGTGACTGATAGCCACCATAACAGACAGTACAGCTTAGAGTTTCTTTTTGGTGTTTTGTCTGTAGCTACCATTCTCTTAAAGACTGCTCTATAACAAGAAAAAGCTCTGATTTTTTGTGCTATTTTATGGATTAAAAAAAGAAACAGTGAAACAGTGAGAAAGGAACAAAAAGAATGGTGAGTAAAGTCACTGTGCTTTAGAGGTGCTCATTCTGTGTGCCCAAGAGTGCTGGCTGCTGGTCTGTGAACCAGGAAGCCTTAATAACAAGTCTACTGTATAGGAACCCACAATTGACCTCCTCAATGAAGCATTCCAAAACAGCCTGGCCTTATGTGTAAACAGTGTGGAAGCACCAAGATGGCTACCCAAATAAACCTCCAGCTGCCATTCTAGGAGACACTGAAAGAAAACCAGGAATAGACATCAAAACAAACAATGGTAGATTATATAAACTAGAGAGTAAGGCAATGCGAATCATGATACTACAATGGCTAGATGTGGAAAGAAGGGCTGGAGGGTCGTCGGCCTTTACACTAGTCCAGACACTAGAGAAGAATTAAATCACACAGTCACATTTGTCTTCTCTGAGAAAGAACAGAAATTCCTGGTCTCCTTCTAGCTTCCAAAAACATGTCTGTGGCATTAAAAAACCAACCTAGCTGGGCACGGTGGCTCATGCCTGTAATCCCAGCACTTTGGGAGGCTGAAGTGACAGGATTGCTTGAGTGTACACGTTTGAGATCAGCCTGGGCAACATGACAAGATCTTGTCTCTATAATAAAAAAAAAAAAAATTAGCTGGGCACGGTGGTGTACACCTATAGTTCCAGCTACTTGGAAGGCTGAAGCGGAAGATCGCCTGAGCCCAGCGAGTCAACGCTGCAGTGGCCATAAGCATGCCACTGCACTACAGGTTGGGCAACAGTGAGACTCCACTCCACTCAAAAAACCAAAAACTCTGAAAAGTCCAACCAGCCTGCTCTAGTGGCCTCTTACCACTCCCCACTAGTTGTCAACAGCATGTTCTGAGGAGGAATCTAAGGTCAAGGTCATTTTCTCTCCATGAGCTGAAACTCTGTACATTTTGGATAAGGTGAGAGGCAGAGACCTTGGATTATAATCTGACTTGGACAAAGACACAAACAGGAGTTAAGTCTGAGCATCAGGAATGAAAAATCTTGTCTTGTTTTTATAACTTTCAGGCTTAACACAAGGGTGAAAAGCCACTCAAGTCATATCAAGAGAGAGAATATGAGACAGAGAGGGAGAATATTAGAGAGGGAGAGAGAACATGAGAATGAGAGAGGGAGAATTTAGAGGCAGGATTAGACTTGCTGAAACTGAATGGCCCAGTAGAAGCCCAGCAGACCAAGTTCTAGTTTTCTTTTGCCTCCCACTCATTAGGGTTCCTCCCTCCTTAAAGGAAGGGTTCGGCTTGATTTCTCAAACCCTTCTGTAAACCAGCCCTGTATCTTCCTGGGAGAGTAGACAGGGTTCACTCACTCACCTATTCATCCACCAAGTATATTTTGTATTTAATGAGAAGAGGAGTGCAGAAATGAACATGACCTCCAGTTCCTGTTCTCCAGGAGCTACCAGTCTAGTGCAGGAAAAAGATCTGAATCAAACCCTTATTTTAATGATTCTATTAACCTTCAGATTCTTTTTTTTTTTTTTTGAGTTGGAGTCTCACTTTGTTGCCCAGACTGGAGTGAAGTATCACGCTCCCGGCCACCACACGACCTGCTGGGCTCCGGTGATCCTTCTGCCTCAGCCTTCCAAGCAGCTGGAACTACAGGCGTGCGCTACCACACCCGGCTAATTTTTGATTTATTATAGAGATGAGGTCTTGCCAAGTTGCCCAGGTGGGTCTCGAATCCGTGGGTTTAGGCAATCCACTCACCTCGGCCTCCCAAAGTGCTGGGATTACAGGCTAGCCACCCAGCCCGGCTCAAGAAATTTCTTAAAAGTTTTTTTAAAAATCTGAGCTTGAGCCTGGCTGGGTGGCTCAGCCTGTAATCTCGCGCCTTTGGGAGGCTGAGGTGAGTGGATTGCCTGAGCCCGCGGGTTCGAGACCCGCCTGGGCAGCGAGACCTCATCTCTACAATAAATCAAAAAATCAGCTGGGCATGGTAGCGTATGCCTGTAATTCCGGCTACTTGGAAGGCTGAGGTGGAAGGATCACTGGAGCCCAGCAGGTCGAGGCTGCGGTGGCCGGAAGCGGCCACTGCACTCCAGTCTGGGCGACTGAGTGAGACACCAACTCAAAAAAAAAAAAAAGAATTAAAGAGATCTAAATATGTATCCAATATAGCTATTTAGTAACTGTATTACCTTAGGGAAATCACTTAACCCTGACAAGCCTCAGTTCTCTAAACTGTAAAATGTGGTTGACAGTATCTACGGTCATAAGGTTGTATGGGTTAAGTGAGTTAATGCCTGGAAAGCAATTAGAACAGTGCCTAACAATGTTAGCACTCACTGTAAGTAAGGCCATAAATATAAGCATTCCATATGAAAGCTCTTATATTTAAATGAAAGTAAATTATCAGGCCGGGTGTGATGGCTCAAGTCTGTAATCCCAGCACTCTGGGAGGCCGAGGCAAGATGACTGCCTGAGCCTAGGGGTTCGAAAACAGCCTGGGCAACTTGGTGAGACCTCATCTCTACAATAAATAAAAAAATTAGCCTGGTATGGTGGCACATGCCTGTAGTTCTAGCTACTTGGAAGGCTGAGATGGAAGGATCACCTGAACCCAGCAGGTCGAGGCTGTGGTGGCTGTGGGTAGTGTGCCACTGTACTCTAGCCTAGGCGACAGAGTGAGTCTCTTGACTCAGAAAAAAAAAAAGAAAAAGGAAATAAATTATCTAAAAACACAAACCAGCCAGCATGGTGACTCATGCCTGCAATCCCAGCACTTTTGGGGGGCAGAGGCAAGAGAATTGCCTGAGGCCGGGGGTTCAAGATTACCCTGGGCAACTTGGCAAGACCTCGTCTCTACGATAAGTCAAAAAATTAGCAAGGCATGGTGGCACACACCATGGTTCCAGCTCCTTGGAAGGTTGAGTTAGAAGGATTGCCTGAGCCCAGCAGGCCAAGGGCTGCTGTGGCCATGAATGAGTCACTCACTACACTCTAGCCTAGGTGACAGAGTAAAACTCTGACTCAAATAAATAAGTAAATGAATTAATAAATACAGAAACCATTGACTTGAGGCCATGTTTAGGGATCTAGGCACTCTTTATTAGGGTTCTTGAAAGCCAGATTCTGCTCAGAGTCTAGAAAGCAGCTGCTGGGGCAAGAGCCCATTGCC